GGTTTTCATGTTGTTGATAAGTACATCACATAAATAGACAGGTGAAAATACAATTTCCAGGTCCAATAAATTAAATATTTTTCTAATTTCTTGTTCAGAACTATTAAAAAGTTGTTGTTGCATCCTCCTCCTCCTCCTTCCTCGTCTTTCCTCCTCCTCCTCTTCCTCCTTCTCTTCCTCCTCCTCTTCCTCCTTCTCTTCCTCCTCCTCTTCCTTTTGTTTTGTTTTGAGATTTTTGGGTTTGTTTGTTGTGTTTTGTTTTGTTTGGGGACAGGGTCTTTCTTCAGAGATCTGGCTGTCCTAGAACTCACTATGTAGTCCAGGCTGGCCTCATACTTACAGAAATCCACTTGCCTCTGATTCCTGAGTGCTGGGATTCAAGGCATACACCACTGTGCCAAGCTCCTTAAAAATTCTGAATATCAGGCCGGGCGGTGGTGGCGCACGCCTTTAATCCCAGCACTCGGGAGGCAGAGCCAGGCGGATCTCTGTGAGTTCGAGGCCAGCCTGGGCTACCAAGTGAGTTCCAGGAAAGGCGCAAAGCTACACAGAGAAACCCTGTCTCAAAAAAAAAAAAAAACAAAAACAAAAACAAAAAAAAAAATTCTGGATATCATATTGCTATAAAACAGTCCACATTCGTTATCTTAATGTATCACTTCATTTAAGACTTGATACTTTACCTGACTTTTGATGCTACCATGTTAAAATGATTAGATAACCACACATACAAGTTAGTTATTTAGCTTCAAATAAAGGTTAAAGAGTATCCCATAGTAAAATACTACATTAAATCTCACCTTTCATATTTAGAAAATGCCCCTTAAGATTATTCTAGTATGGGAAAAGATCTTCACCAACCCCACATCTGACAGAGGGCTGATCTCCAAAATATATAAAGAACTCAAAAAGCTAGACATCAAAATACTGAACAATCCAATTTAAAAATGGGCTGAGCTTAACAGAGAATTCTCAACAGAAGAATCTCAAATGGCTGAAAGGCATTTAAGGAATTGCTCAACATCCTTAGTCATCAGGGAAATGCAAATCAAAACAACTCTGAGATACCATCTTACACCTGTCACAATGGCTAAGATTAAAAACACTGAAGACAGCTTATGTTGGAGAGGATGTGGAGCAAGGGGAACTCTCCTCCTCTGTTGGTGGGAATGCAAACTTGTACAACTACTCTGGAAGTCAGTATGGTGGTTTCTCAGAAAATTGGGAATAAGTCTTCCTCAAGACCCAGTTATACCACTCTTGGGCATATATTCAAGGAATGCTCAATCTTACCACAAGGACACATGCTCAACTCTGTTCATAGCAGCATTATTTGTAATAGCAAAAACCTGGAAACAACCTAGATGCCCCTCAACTGAAGAATGGATAAAGAAAATATGGCACATATACACAATATACTCAGAGGTAAAAAAAAAAAAAAAAAATGATATCATGAAATTTGCAGGCAAATGGATGGATCTAGAAAATATCATCTTGAGTGAGGTAACCCAAACTCAGAAGGACAAACATAGTATGCACTCACTCATAAGTGGATACTAGATGTTAAGGAAGGGATGGCCAGACTGCAATCCACAACTCCAGAGAGGCTAGCTAACAGAGAAAGACCCTAGGAGGGACACAAGGAGAAGTAGATGAGATCTACATGAGTGGACTGGGTGTGGGGGGGTGGCAGAGGGCGAGGAGTGGGGGATGAGAACATAGGGAAATGGGAGGGTCAAGCTGGAACAGGGACAGAGTGGGAGGGCAGGGAGGAAGATACCATGATAGATGAGGACATCAAGGGAATAGGAAGAGGCAGGGTGCTGGGGAGGCTCTCAGGAATCCACAAGGTTGACCCCACCTTGTGGGGTCTGGACCGGTCTACTCTGGTGACCAGCCTAGCAAATGACCTAGCTGTCATCATAGAGCCTTTGTCCAGTGACTGATGGAGGCAGATACAGAGATCCACGGCTAGGCACCAGGCTGAGCTCCAAGAATCCAACTGATGAGAGAGAGGAGAGATACTGCAGGCGAGGAACAATGAGATCATGATGGGAGGCCGTGCAGAGATGACCGGCCACACTAGTGGAAGCCCATGAACTGTGGACTGGTGTCTGTGGAGCCCCCATGGGACTGGACTAGGCCCTCTGGATATGGAAGATGGTTGTTTGGCTCAAACTGTTTGAAGGGCACCCAGGCAGGGGGATCGGGATCTGTCCCTGGTCTATGGGCAGGCTTCTGGAGCCCGGTGCCTGTGGTGTGACACCTTGCACAGCCTTGGTGCAGTGGGAAGGGGCTTGGACCTGCCTAGGCTCAGTGTGCTGGGCTCTGCTGACTCCCCATGGGAGACCTCCATTTGGGGGATGTGGGGATGCAGGGTGGCTTGGGAAAGAGGGCGGGGGGATGGAAGGAGGGAGTGAGATATCTGTGGATAGTATGTGGACTGAGTAGAAAATTTCTTAATAAAGAAAAATGAAAGAAAAAAGATTATTCTGGGTAGTTAAACTATAAACATGAAAAGTTTATGAACATTAAAGAGCACTAAAAAAGAAGACATTTAAAGTTCAGCACTTTCAGAGAGTGTTTATACATTACATGTCTAAATATGTCACAGTTCTTGCATCCCCAAATTAAGGAAAACTAAAACCCTTGTTAAATATAGCATTCTTCACAAATATCTTCCAGATCTCATTTCTTGAAAATTTGTAGATATAACTGACTTAATTCTTAATTGATCTCTTGTCATAATCCATTATTTTAGTAACATAGATATTAACAAACAAAACCGGAAATAAAATAACAAATTTCAAAGGATTTTTAAAACATAGCTTCTGGGGATCTTAAATTCTCCTGATGAAGAAAATGCCCTCATATGTACTGCAGTATAAACACTATCATCACATTTTAATGGAATGGAAGTCAAAATAGCACATTTATGTCCTGTCTGCATACACAACATCATGTTTCACTACTCCAGTGTTTATTGTGGTCTGTGATCTATTTCAGGAAAAGGGAAAAGGCTACACTAAAGTTTATGCTGACTTCAAAAGTGATCATTTCTCCCAAAAGATCATTTTCTTTATTTATTTTTATCTAAAAATACAGTTTTAGAATATAAAGACTCATCAAAATAAAATATTAAGCTTTGTGTTTTTGGAGAATTACCACAAACTACTCTCAGTCCTTTGAAAAATAATCTAATTTGAATCACTAGTCTAAATAGGTCATTTAACTTAGAAGAATTAAAATTAGCAGTGCAGGGTCAAGTCTTTTCCTAAAACATGTGCATCTGTTTGTCCTGTTCTCTGCAAAGTCAAAGCAGAGGAAAGTATCATGAACAGGCAGAATATATGAGTCTACTGTGAATCTCAGTTAATCTGCTCCTGGAACACCCATAAAATTAACAAAGTAAAAAGAAACAGAGCAAGGAATTTATTCGAGTTGGGGAGGATAGAGTGGCAGAAGGTAAATTGGCTCATTTACGTGCAGGAGGATGATTGCATGCTCATTCCTTGTTTTTCACACACATATTTTCACAATAAACACAAATCAAAATCAGCAAGACAAACCTAAAACTAACACTCCAATACACCTTAGGCTCGCATAAGCTTCGCTGCTTCTTCTATGAAACTAACAAGATCGTGAAACTTTCCAGATTACAGATACAGTGCCTGAGACCCCAGCACTAAGAAGACTGGGGCAAGAGTATAGGAGTTTGAGGTCAGCTTCTGCTACACAGAGGGACAACAGGAACCTCAGCATGGCCCAGCACCTCTAAGAACTGACTTATCTTACACTTTCTGATAAACTCAAATCCCTCCTATCCTGGAAGACTTCAAAAAATAGAATAAACAGTACCTTAAAACTCAGTTACTCAAATAATCATAATAATGAAACATAAATGAAGACGTTTAACTGCCGGAGACATTCAAGATCCCTCCAATCCAAAGGATTTCAACATTGTGTCAATAGCTCAGGAACCCTTGACTTCAGAAGAGAAGGCAGGCAAGGCGTCAGAAGTGCAGTAAGAGCCAGTTTTGCTTCAACATTCTTCAAAGCCACCAGAAAATGCACTCATCATTCTTTCTTGATTAAAAGTAACTTTGATGCTTGGGGGGGGGGGGTCTTTCATATTGCTCAGCTGGCAACAGTCTACTGATAGGAGTGATGAGGATGCCGCTGAAGAACCTGGCTTTCCCTTTACCTACTTCGCTAACACCGCTTCCCCAAAATGAGATCTTGAGAAATCCCGACTCCCTCAAGACCTCCCTATCTGTTTAGAGATAGGGAAGGACCTTGGCTGACAAGGAGACTCTGGAGGTGTGGCTTTGGGAAACTGCTAAGGAACACTCTAAGCTACATTTTTTTTTTTTTTAAAGAAAAACGCAAGGTGGGGTGCCAAGCAAAATTAAGATTTACTCATCACCAGATGGATGATAAAATATTTATGGTTACCCAAGACAAATTTACACGCCCCCCTCACACACACACCCTGGAGCAAAGACAGAAATAATCCCAGGGAAGGGTTGAACAGGCTGACTTGATCCTTCTACTACAGCCTCTCTAAATCCGCTTTTCACCCGCTTGTATCAGTCTTCCCTAGTCCCTCAGCGCGCGCGCGCGCGCGCGCACACACACACACACACACACACACACACACACACACACACACCCTGTCTCTAAGCGGCCACTACTCCGCCCCCCCCCCCCCCCCCCCCCCATCTTCAGTTCTGAGCGGACTTTATCCAACAAGGGCTCAGCCTCCAGGGCGTCCCTCTGGGTGGCGTCCCTAGCACTCAGGAGGTTCGAAAAAGCCTGGGGACCTGGCGCCAGTGCCAAGGCTGAGGAACCAGGGTTCCTCCTTCCACTCCCCTCAGTCTGAGAGAAGATTAAGTTGTCCGGACCGCAGAGCTCAGGGAGCGGTCCCTCCCACTCCAACCCCTCCCGAGCTCGGACACCCAAGGGTCCCCCCGCCTCCACGGAGGTGAGCGCGCACTCACCGGAGGTGAGCTGCATCCAAGCACAGATCTTGTACACGGTAGCTGTGTTGCAGAAGAAGAAGAGGGTAAAGCAAACGATGCAGGCGATGATGAGCATCATGGAGAGGCCGATGAAGAAGGAGGCGGCTTTGAAGGCGCCCGAGGGCAGCGTGGAGAAGTCCGTGAAGCTGCCCCTGCAGGTCAGCTCCCGGGAGAAGCCGTTGCCGATGCAGTAGTGGAAGAGCCCGAAATAGCCGGCTTGCGGGGTGTCCACGCCGTCGCCGATCCAGTAGGGCTGGATGAAGCACACCACGTTGACGATGGCAAAGCAGATGGTGAAGATGGCCCACAGCACGCCGATGGCCCGCGAGTTCCGCACATAGTTGGTGTGGTATAGCTTGGCAGCCTCCTGAGCCGGGAGCATCGCGGCGGCGGCGGTGGCAGCTCCAGGCATTCTCCCCCTCCTCCTCCTCCGCCTCCCGGTCCTCCGCCTCCCCCCGCCTCTCGGCTCGCAGGAGACACACTAGCAGAGCCGCGCGCGTTGCAAATCCCCTGCCTCCGCCTCAGCCCAGCAACGCCAGTTCTAGAGTCTGCATCCTCGCTCCCGGAAGGAGGGCGGGGGAGCGCAGAGCACCCCTCCGGCTTGCCTGGCACAGCCTCCCCCTCTCCCCGTTGCCTTCTCTCCCTCCCTCCTGGCCCCGACTCCAGCCCTGCTCAGCACCCTCCACCCCTCTGCCCGCTGCTGCAGCTGCTGCAGCTGAAGCCTACGAGCCCTCACGCCCCCCATTTCCTTTCCCGCCTCTGATCCCCTTTCCTGCCAGTGCTGCTGGTGCCCCAGGGCGCAAAGGACCGTAGCTACCCTGAGATGCTCCTTAAGCGTCAGACAGGAGCCAGAGAAGCGGCTGTGGAGTTGGGGGGATCTGAGAGCGCACCCACAGGAATCCTAGAGGCACTCCCTGGATCCTGGAGGGTGTGCTGCCAGCCAGGAGGCTGATCCTGGGAGCTTTTCATCACTGCACAGGAACGTGCTTTGACCTCTGCATCTTTGCAGAGAAGAAAGAAGCAGCATGGCAGGTGCAGGTGAGAAAAGGAAGATGACTAGGACGTGGTGCCCTACCGGAGCTTCCCTGTCAAAACCACAGAATTGCCCCTGGCTAATTCTTCGGGTACATCAAGTCCACAGATGGAGACAGGAGAAGTTGGGTAGAAACCTGTCAGACAATAATGTCGGAGTCAAGCCTGGAGGCTGATCTTCCATTTCTAAGAAGCTTGTTTCTCTTCCCACTTTCCTACTATTCAACCAAATGAACTATGGCCAACTGAAGCCCCATGCTTCACTTTCAAGCAAGCCATTTCTCTCCCACAGAGCTTGCAATAGATGGGTCCTGCATGCACGGAAGTGATCGTCACAGAATTTTAGAGTTTGTTTGAAAACATCCCACAGTTTTGGCAGGTGTTCCATTTATTACACAAATATTCGTTGGCAGCTAGTGTGTGCTAAAGACGAAGAGGATGACAATGGATACATGTCTTAACGGTGGAAGTATTCTCACCTCCCCCACAACCCAAAGCTCCAGTTAACCAGACTGTTGTCTTAGGGTAACTTCCCTGAATCATCTGCAAATAATGCCTTGCATAGCTGGTGTGCACCTTTTGCTGTTCTCCTGTTTGATTTATCCAGCATTGTCATTGCTCTTTGTAACAGGCCTATCTACCAAAACGAGTTTCTCTGTTGCCATTGCATTTTATGGTTCCTTCTGTGAACCCAGAATGCTCAATAGCAGGAATATATTTTGGTAAAAATCATTTTAAACCCCATGATTGCTGAATTCTTTGAGCAAACAGAAGGCTGAAGTCTGTACTATATACATGAAACTTCTATTAAAACAGCCCAAAGTCTAAGTGGTAGAGACTAGTTATGCTCTTCATCTGACACCCTGAAGACCTGCAATTGTGTGGGGGCAGGAAAGGGAGCGAGCTAGGGACAAGGGACACACAAGATAAGGAAAGGGCTTCTGCTTCAGCTGTGAAAGATCTGAAAGTGTGAGTGTGGGATTTACAATGAGGTCTCCTATAGGTATGGAGTTGAGGTATTACAATTATAGTTCAAGATCCATCAAGGCTTGGAAAAGAGGGTATCATTTAACAGATCGGGGACTGTTAGCTAGGGTAAAACAGAATTCCTCTCAGGTACAGCTGTAAACTTTCAGGAAGTCTTTAAAATATCAAAGCGATTTAAGAGAGATGCAGAAGGTGACATAAATGTGGACCAGTCCAATATAATACTTTATGTCTTTAAACATGTAAGTCAAGAGGATACATCTTCCGTGTATTGGTGGTAGTGAAAGGTCAGAACTTCTGTGAGGTTTCATTCTGAACTCCCCTACACCTGTTGGCACATCAGCATTTTAACTTGGGAGGAGGATGAGGAAAGAAGTAATGAGATTTGTAGGGCCAGTTGACAAGCAGTGTGTCCTAGGACAATGAAAGCTTCAAGGCAAGAATTGACAGTAATGTCTAGTGACTCTTGCAAGTCCTCAAGTCCCTAAGCCTGCTTATATAAAGTGGTCTTTCTTTGAAAGCTTACTTACTGTTGCTGGGGTGGGAATGAGTTTGGAGGTTGCTGAAAAGGAAAGGCTGAGAATCAAAGGGCCTAGTTATATCTTGATGCTTAAATTGCCTTCATGGGACAAAGAAAAGACTGGCAAGTGACTCAGACTCAAGGGTTGTGAGTCAAAGAGCTCTTCTATTTGAGTCATGCCAAAGGAAAGCCTTATTCTTGTTCCAGGTTCGGAATTGCCTCTGGGTTTGTGCTCAGAATCCTTATTGTGCCAGAAGGCACATTCAAAGGTGCCCACTCTTGTCAACAACCACTGAGAACAGTCCAGAGCTGGCAAGCTGTTAAGATGCTCCTGTGCATTCCCCCTAAGAATTCATCATTTCCTCCTTCAGGTTTGGATTGGGAAAGTGTGAACTGGACCATGTCAATAGACCCTCTATTTCCACAGCGCCTTGTACTAAAGCAGATTTTCAGACTGAAGTGGGCTCCTCCAAGAATGTAGTAACTAGGGATGAGCTGGAATGCTAAATTCTATTTTAGACTATGCCATCAGTGAATATGTTCTCTACCAGTCTTCAGACTTCTTTGCCACTGGCATTCCAATCTTGTCCTTTGCCACCAGGAATTTCACAGATAAAACTGATCCCATCCTTCATGTGAAATTTTTACTTGCATCATATAGGTCAATGGCTCTCAACCTACAACTCTTTAATACAGTTCCTCATGTTATGGTGACCCCCAACCATAAAATTATTTCATTGCTACTTCATAACCTTGATTTTGCTACCATTATGAATCGTAATATAAATATCAGATACACAGGATATCTGATATCATTTGACCTCAAGGGATTGCAACCCACAGGCTGAGAACCAGTGATATAGATAGACTTTAAGAGTCTGAACAGCTAAACATATGTGAAACCCTGCAATCATCCTGTGTGACCAGGACAGCTGTTTTGGGGAGGAGGAAATAACAAAACCAGCCTGATTCATGCTACGAAGTTGCTATTGATAGAAAGGTATTTTGAAACTATAACATGATTCATAAGTGCTAAATAACTAGTAGAAGTCTGTCGTTGACAGCATAGAATTAGAAACACTGAATGCTCAAATCTCAAATCTCACTCTTGAAAATGCCTTTCTCTTACCGCCACAAAAAGAGTGAGTAGTGAAACTCCATCTTCACACTCTGTCTCAGTGCATGCTAGTTGGGACTATAAAAGATAAAGAAATTGAACAATAGCTGGGTTATGTGACCCTCCTGAGGTCCTAAGTGAGATAAAGAACTAATGCTTTGGTCGAACTAATCTGATGCAGCACAGGAGAGTGCAACCTCGGGACCCAGATCTAGTCTTTTCCTTAACACTAGAAGCCCAGGCTCTTGAGGGCTCCATTTCTCTTCTCTGCAATTTGGTGAGGAAGAAAGGACAGAAGATGTGTTCTAAGATCCCTTACTATAGTAAAATTCTATTTTACAAAGACTAAGATGATTTCTTTAGAAAAGTTAAAAGAGAGAAACAATCTAGCATTTGAAAAAATGGAAAAAATCTAAAGAAGGTTTATCAGATTATGACAAAGTAAACATTTTATTCAAAATTGAAAGTCTTTCTGAAATTGTGTAGATGTAATTTTGCAAGCAATGGATGCTCAGAATTTCCAGATGAGTCATTGCTTGTGAGCAAGGTAATAGAGAATTTCTAAATTCTGTTGATTATTTGATTTTTAGAGTTATGTCCAAGGTCAAGACCTTAGGGCAGAATACAAAGATTGTAAGGGCTAAAATCTTCTCACCTGTAAAGGACTCCCTCTCTCCCCTTAGCCATTCAGTTTTCTTTGGGACTTTAGACATCAGGAACCACCACTTAGTTAATCAATCACTGGGCTAGCAGAGGCAATCAGATGGTCTGAGTGTTTCAGACTTTCTGAAAAATCAAGATCAAATTGAGGGTCAGGTGTACTGGGTAGTTTCGGGTCAACTTGACACCAACTAGAGTCATCAGAGAGGATGGAGCCTCAGTTGAGGAAACACCTGCATGAGATCCAGCTGTAAGGAATTTTCTCAATTAGTGATCAATGGGGGAGGGCCCAGCCCATTGGTGGGTGGTGCCATCCCTGGGATGCTGGTCCTGAGTTCTGTAGGAAAGCAGCTGAGCTAGCCATGTCACATAAAGCAAGCCAGTAAGCAGCTCCCCTCCATGATCTCTGCATCAGCTCCTGCCTCCAGGTCCCTGCCCTGTTTAAATTCCTGTCCTGATTTCCTTCAGTGATGAATGGCAATGTGGAAGTGTAAGGCAAATAAACTCTTTCCTCCACAACTTTTTTTTTGGAGGGGGGGAGGGAGTCGTGGTGTTTCATTCCAGCAATAAAAACCCTAATTAAGATACCAGGAAAGATGGTTCTAAGATAAAGTGACTTGATGACCTGAGTTGGTCCCCAGAATCCACATGGTGGAAGGAGAAAGCAGACTCCTGCAGGTTGTCCTCTGACCTCCATATGTACACCTGCCAGGACATGAATGTGTCCACCCTACTCAAACAAACAAACAAACAAAAATAAACCAAACACATAAATGTAAAATATCTATCATTCATTCTGAACCCGTCTCTTGGAGCTTTCCAGAAAAGGTACAGTTTATTGAAAATACACCCTTTCAGCTTGGGGTTCACACTGGAAAGCACTGCTTGGATTCCCTGCTATGAGCATCTTTATATACAAATCTTGTCTCTCTATTTGGCAATCATTTAGGTCATTGAAATCTCAGGTTCAGATTTTTTAAGAATGTCTCCAAATAACATAAGCCAAAATTTTAAATCTTACAATCCCAACACGCTTCTAAATAATAAGAAAAACTATCCACAAGGTTTTGTTTCTTACCATAGTCACACAAAAATGTTAATATTGATGACTCAGTACTCTGGGCAGAAGGGCACATGTCAATGCCTTCCAGGTTTGGCTGCAGAAGCTGTTCAAACTCTCAGCAGTGCGTAACCCAGCCTTTTTCCCCCTAATCTACACCACACGATCATTCCCAGTTGGCTGTGGTTCTCTTCCATGCAGTGGGCCTGGCTGTGGATTTGTTTTGTAGTTATCGGGTCTGAATTGAAAGAGAAGCTCCTATTCGCTTCGTGTTGTTTGTAGGAAGAAACTAAAAGTTGAAATGACTCAGGCAAATTTTATAGGCCTACAAATAAAACTGTAGCCCAAATGTGTCGTGATGCGTGGTATATCACATTGCATTGGCCAAAGCAGATCAAAGAGAAGCCAGAAGGCAATGTAATAGTGACGGGAAGTTCTCACAGGAAGGAACTGAGTGAAAACCTGAGAGGTTGAATAAAATCCACTATATTCACTTTCAATTCTGATAAAACTTTAGTATCAACTTACTTTCCAAATAGTCCCTAAAAGTATATTCATATATGTGTTTTATTTAAATTCTGTGATTATTTTATTTCAAGTAACCATTATATCCCATCTGAATGAGAAGAAAGTGCACCTTAGTGGGGCTTACAATGAAAAACACTAAGTGAAGAAAGGTTGATAGTCATAAATTTATTTTTTCCTTTTATTGAACTTAGCTCCCCCCACCGCCCATCAAGGCCTGCAGCAAGTGGGAGAGCTGGCCCTGGGGTCATAAGAGCTGGAGAGCTGTCCCTGCCCCTCATCAGCTGCAGCACTCCAGAGAAAGGCCCCTATACTTAGCCTGAGCTGGCCCTGAAAGCATAGGTGTGGGAAAGCCGACCCTGAGGACATGAATGAGGGAGAAATGGCCAGCCTGTTCCTCTTCACTGCAAGGGGTGAACTAGTCAGGGCAATGCTGGAGAGCTCCCCCTGGTGGTGAGGACAGGAGAGAACTGGGAGGGTGACCAACCCTGCAATTACCCCGGCCCAGAGCCAGGGTTAGGTGTTGGTGTACCCTAACATCCACCCCAACAGTGATCTCCTGGAGCACAGGGTGGGTTGGGGGTGGGAGTTGGGGGTTGATCCTGTGGACCCAGGGCTGCAAGATCTCCACGACAAAGGGCAGCAATGGGATGTCCAGGGAGAGCCCCAATGAGGGCCCATTCTTTGGGATGAACGCCTGCCTGTAAAAATCTAGGGATAAAGGGGTTTACTGTGTGATTCACTGTATCACACTGCAGCTTCCATGATGAGATTCTTCATTTCTCCCCACGCCCCCACCCTGCCTTTTTTCTCTTCAATTTTATTTTATTTTATTTTAGGGAGGGGAGAGAGATGAGTGAGATTAGGAGACATGGTGTGTAGGTATGATGTGAAAGACACAAGCATAAATAAAAAGAAAGTAAAAAAAAGAACCTTTTATACCCTGATTATTGTT